TATTAAAAAGTCAAGAAACAACAGATGCTAGCGAGGTTGCAGAGAAACAGGAATGCTTTTACACTGTTGGAGGAAAAGTAAAGCAGTTAATCCATTGTGGAAGACAGTGTGGCAATTCCTCAAAGATATAGAACCAGACATACCATTTGACCCAACAATCCCAATACAGGGTATATACCCAAAGGAATATAAATCATTCTATTATAAAGATATATGCATATTTACATTCATTGCAGCACTATTCACAATGGCAAAGACATGAAATCAACCCAAATGCCCATCAATGATGGACTGGATAAAGAAAATATGGTATATATACACCATGGAATATTATGCAGCCATTAAAAGGAATGAGATCAAGTCCTTTTCAGGGGTATGGATGAAGCTGGAAGCCATTATCCTCAGCAAACTAACACAGGAACAGAAAACCAAACACCACATGTTCTCACGCGCGCAGCAGGCAAGCAGATTTGTCTGACGTCCAGAAGTTCAAGATCAGCGCTGGGCAAAACCCCAATCTCTACAAGAAAATTAGAACATTAGTGCAGCATGCGGTTCATGCCGTGTGAGTCGCCAGGTACGTCAGGCGAGGGCTGAGATCAGAGGCGGTCCCTTGAGCCCAGGGAGGGGCGACACTGCGAGGAGTGCGGATGTGATCATGCCACACACTCTCAGCGCTGGTTTACAGATGTGAGACCTTGTCTCAAAAATTAATGATGATGATGATACATTTAGAGGCAAATGGCAAGTTGGTAACATGTAGATTAATAACCTGCCTCTTCTTTGTCGAAGAAATGTCGGATTTATGTTGACGGGATTGGCATAACGAATAGTGTAAACTTAGCTCCAAGAAAAAACAAATACGTTTTCATCAAGTTCCCACAGTTTCCAGATGAGTTAAGAATCCAGGGGAGAGGGTGTCGCCCTGAGTGCTTCTGGCTCAGGGCCTCTCGACAAGGTGGGTGCAGTCGCCGTGTGTTGGTGCAGTCAAGGGGCTGCATCA